AGCGTTTACAGTTGAATACATAGTTCAAACTTAAATAATCCCAAATGAAATTCCCACCCTGAATGTATCAGCAAACATGTTCATGCATATAGCCAAGCCACACACTACAGACAACAGGATATTACACATTTTGGGTCTTGCACACTTTGATTAGGGCCTGCCTCATCTTCAGATTTACATGCATGGCTGGTTTTGGTTTTGGCCAAGACCACCGGCAGAAATGGACAGGATGACAGGTGAACATAGTGAAAAAACATGCTGTCACAGTCTCCCGGTGTGACTCATCACGGCCTCATCACGTAGACAGACTGACAGCTATTATATTGGACTTACATATTCATCATTTCTGCTTCTTGTTGAGCTGCCAACAGCCATAGTTGCTCTAATAACACCCGGCCGGGACAGATGTGATTGGGAAAGTTGAGGATTCATAGATGGGATTCTTGGCGGCAGTGGGTAGGATGGTCGAAGTGCCCTGGATGGTCCCGGGGTGCCTAGAATGGAGGGCTGAAGCATCCATTGAAGGTCCTGGTTTGAAGTTATGTCATTGAGACTGGGCACAAACTGACTGGATCCTGCCACGGAATATTTCTGCTTCAAAGTACAAGAGACACAGACAATATATCATAAGTTACCAAGGCAGTGGCATTAGATATTTAGGGAGGAGACTTTATTATATCTCATTATGACTCAAAAACCCATTGTGTTGTTGTGTTTGCAGAAACACCCAGATATAAACACCAACCTGAATCATTAAATCTCTTATTATTATTACTTTATTACTGTCTGCCCTGGTCTCTGTTTTGGCTATATTTATTAGGTCATTAATCCTAAACAGGGGATCTTAAATCTACTCTGTCCACACAGAAGACATCTAAAACGTGTTCTAAATAAATAATTGTATGTTAAGACATATGAATTACAACTAATTTCTAAATAAATGATATTTTGAGCATTAAAGCATAATGATATGTTAAAGTTCATGATTAAAATGTTACTTTTTGTCTTAAATTAACCATTTAGAAAATGATACTGTAACTTATTATTATTCATACATATCTCATACTCATCTTGAATTTTAAGAGTATAACAAATGACTTAGATATGAGAGAAAGACGCTTACCTGTTGTTGTGGAGTTGTGGCAGAGATTGTGGCGAGAGTCGCAGAGCTCGAGCCTGATCCAGAGCCGTTATCTGGGAAGGTCCGATCGATTCCTCTGCCCAGGTTTCCGTAGTTGTACATGTATGCCGTTGACTCTTCAGTAATCCAAAGGAAACTGTTGACTAACTCTGTGAACTCTTGACTAACTCTCTGAACTCTGCTTACTTTTCTGGGTCTGCTTTCCCAAAAAGGTTCCTCCTACTTATATATCACCGACAGTTTATGTGAAATTCAAAAGCAAATTAAAAATCCACCTTATTGCGGGAAAGCGGTAGAATCCACCACGATACGCCTGGGGGAGTCTAACAGTATCTGTCAACGTTTAAAATGTTCATATTGCCGACAGAGGTAGAATAAACGCAAAAAATAATGTTTTATGGTATGTGTAATACAATTCTATCTTTCTGTCAGACTGGTGGTTCCGAGTGTTCACCAGAATATAAATAAGTGATCAAGAACGGTACAGTTTTCGCCCCTCCCATTTTAAGGGAATTGGTGCTGCCAGTCTTTAGAATGACGTTAGTCACATGGAAGATTACGTATATGACCACATATGGGTTTTTCCGGGAGCTCCTTCTGTTTGAGCTAGTGATAGGCGCTCTCGCGATAATGAAAACTCTGAATCGAAACTTGAGCGTTTTACAACAGCTTTCGTTATTTATTATTTAGTTATTCCTTCGGAAATCTATACAGATCTGTACAGTTTCTGTACTAGCACGCGGGTTTGTGTTAACACTTGGTAAGCAGTGTGTGGTCTACATTTAATTGGACACCAACCAATTCACATACTCTTCCGATGAGTAAATACTAGCGGCTGGTCTTCCACAAGTGAAGTCGTGTATACACTGAGGTTTCGGCACGTTCCAGTGGAGAGACCACATTAAAGCAGCATACAGTGAATGAATGCCATGAATGAATGAAGGCTCATGAAACAATTTTCACTGCCTTTCACCATTCCGCTGAATCATCCCTACAGCAGTAAATAGGAAAATGATTCAGCTAAATGGTGTCAGGCTGTGAAATCTGGATTCATTACCGTTCCTTTTTGTTTTTGAAAACCACAAACTGTTGGGCAGTTCACTGTAGGCCTGCAATCTGGTGTATTTTGAGCGCAAATATTTTACAATCACAGAGCAGATACTTGAAGCAAACTTGTGCTTTTTAGGTAAGTTGCTCTCAGCCCAGTTTCCTGTTACAGTGTTCACACCAGTGTCTGAAAAACACAGTGTGTGACCATTTATGCTAAATGCTCAATATACCTATTATATAAATATTTAAATATAAGTAAATATTTTTGAAATGATAAGATTAATTTTAAATCTGAACAATTATGACTGTTACCTGAACAACATCATCACCAACTACACCAAAAAATATTACAAGGGGCATTTTAATGTAATCTATGATCATTCTTTATTACATTTGGTGGATTTTTTTTTTTAAGTTCTTACCCTGGTCCCACTGACATCATACTTAGTTGCTGAATTACAGTGCAAATTTTTCTAAAATGTGTTTCTCTTGTGGGTTGTCCAAATACAATTAATATAATGAAAACACAACAACTTACAATTAAATTTTTTTTGTTTTATTATTTTTCTTTTTTATATGTTTATTAATGTTCAAACACAGTCACTGTTTTTTTGTCACCACTATTCAAGGTCTACTCCTTTTCAGCATCATTATGACTCATTTTTAACTGTCCAGTACAACAATGATCTGTTTGTGCCAAAGGAAACAATGTTTGTAAAAATTAAACCACAAGAATGAAGTGAATATCATATCTAAATGATATCTTGCCCATTCTATGCTTGAGAAATAATTGACTTCCTTTGGTATTCACTGTTCCCTTTGTCCTACTTTTGATTACTCCCCCCCCCCCATTTTTTTTTTTTT